TTTTTCAAAATAGGGTAAAATCGAATGCCACGCCTATAAAAATTGTACAAAACTATTCAGGAGACGTACAAGGGGAGATGAATTTATATTTTTGATACATTTATATAATAAAGATTATATATTACATTTCAACCATTTGTTTGAATATATATGGAAAGAAAGTTATCATTTTTTTTTTCAAAATAGGGTAAAATCGAATGCGTGGAAAACCGTAGTTCCAGTATTTATAATTCATGAAGTTTATAATATAGATGATAACACGGGGTCGCAACCAAGTTTAAAGAATACGGTAAAATGTGTATCGCTGGCCATTTATCATCACATTAAAAATCGTTAATCAGATCGCCGCTTAAAAATATTCGGTGAGAAATTGCGTCAGGGCTATAAGTGAACTTCCCTTAATATAGCCAAATATTGGATGGAGAACTTCTAAGAATTGTAATAATTTCACAAATTTTATGGCATTTCCATTAGCACCTATACCCATCATTTTTAGCCGAGGTTGCTTAATATTATTACGAAGATTGCTATTCTGCTATGTCTACTTTTGATTTAAAGTTACTATCTTCTGCGTGTTCTGTGGTCATGGTTCTCGAACATGTCTCTTTGCAAATTAGAGTACGTAGTCACAGGGCCAAAACATTGGCCGAATTTCAAGCTAACTTTTGCAGACAACGAACAAAAGATTCAATTATTAACTGAGAAACAACAACAATTTTATCGATTGGTATAGTATTCAAATACTTAAATAACTATTTAACTACAGGGAGAAAATTGAAGAAAGATAACATGAAAAATAGGTAATGGAATTTTCTTATGTAAAATATTAAATACTTATGATAATATAACAGCGATAAACTCTATTTTATGTGATAATGAGCATTTATAAGCTTTTCAGAAAGACGTCCCAATTTGATTTCATCCATTTCTAGAGAATTTATGCGTTTAGTAATCTCGATAAACTGCTCGGCCGCTAAAACTGAAATATATATGTGAAGAAGGCTTTCACGATTACGATTCTTATAATAATCATTGTTTGCTTTCCATATTTACATAATAGTGAATGAAATGCCAATGCTTTATGATTACGATATTTAGGCGTGAGGCAAAAGTTAATTGCATCAATTTTACTCGAATAACGCCATATTTCCAGCAATTTGATTATAACACCGTAAGCTTGCCAATCCTAGTTAGTAGAAAAATTTGAATTAAGAAAAAAAAAAAATGGTTTAAATTATTATAAAAACCTCTCCACGGTGCAATTCCTCAACAGTTTTCTTATAGCGTACATTAAATTTATCGTATAAAAATTGTGAAATGATGCAACTTTTGCCAACACGAGCTGCTCCCATGACAACGATGCGATGCTGCTGTTTGCGTATCAATTGCGTACTTGAATGTGCAGCTGTGGCGCATTTATCCCTTGTTGCATTGCTGCCACTGCTGCTGCCCGAATGAACGAAATCCTAAGAGCTTCTCAAAGAACTTACGCATTAATATTACATTTCAAGTTGTAAACGTAGTCCTCCCACTTTAGGATTCTTACGAATCCCTTTTAGGAAATTGGGGTATCTCAAAGTGAAGTGCTTCAGTTTTCTAATATGGTTCAAGAAATATTTCATCACTGTTATCCACTGCCTATATTTCATCGCAGCTGGTTTATATATCTATATATATATGTATACATATATATACATATCTAAGACTCCGGATGCATAAGAGCAGCACAATTGTATCAAAAACAACAAACTATTGGGCTTTGGCATTTGTCCTCCAGAAATCTAAAAGATTCGTCTACAAAAAAGTCCTTTAGTAGGGCTACTCGGCTTTTTCTCAGCCATCTCAACACGGCATCCTATCGGGACAAATTTCTTCTCCTCTTTCACAAATTTCCTTTCAAAGCATCTTTTTCATCATTCTTAGGTTTAGATAAAGCCTTCTTAGGCACAATATTTCCTCTCACTCATCGATTCAGAGGAAATGAAAACTTAACCAAGATGTTAACGAATTGCTAGGAGAAGTTATTTGATTTCATTTTTACATGCTATTTTTTTTTTAATGTACATGTGTTGTCACATGTGTTTCATATATATATATATATATATGATATATTGGATATATTGGATATGTATATATCCAATGGAAGTAAATAACGCTTTTACAGATCCAGAGTTGCCGGAGCCTAAGTTTTATAAAAAGTCATTTAATGTGCATTCTACGGGCTCATAAGACGGATTATAGCAGACACGCAGAGATGTACTCTCAAATATTTCGTTTAGCCCGTTTACAAACACTATGATAGCATCCAAACTTCAAATAACAGTTTCGGGAAATAGTAGTTCTCCTATACAATCTCCAACTATAATGCTGACTTGTTCATAATTAAAGCAATATTATATTGTTTTTAATCAAATGAAATGACTGAGTCCTTGACTTTTAAAAACATTTACTAAGAGTACGTAAAGTGACGAATCTCCTAGGCTTCCTTTTTCAACTATCCTATTTAATGATTAATTCACCTAAAGACCTTGCATTCCAATAAACTCGGTAAGAAAGGAAACTTTAATTACGAAATTTCGAAACACATGCATTAAACAAGTTTTAAAATGAAAGTTAATAAAAAATTTTTAACATTCGCTAAACATCTTAAAATAAAAACGCATTTATTCTATAAGGTCATATACATTTTTGAACATCTTGTGTTAATTCTTCCCATATATTCGTAGAAGTGCTTTTATATAATGTATCTTATATATAAATGTATAAAAAAAGAGCATTTATCTCCCCTTGAACGCATCCTGACTAGTTTTAGTAAATTTGGAAATTTGCTTGGAAAGGATGTTCGTCGTATTATACCAATGGCGTTGCAAAAGTTTTCTGCTTGCTAAAGAAAAGCTAAGGAATTATTTAGAAATTCCCATACAATTTGGTGAAAATGAATACGAACCAAATTGACAGTGTCTTGCAATTGAGTTAATCGATCGGCCAAACTTAATATATGAATTTGAAGACCATACTTATCTTTTTTTTTGATATGGAATAGACATGTACTAGACCAGTCTATAAACTATTTTGTATTGTTTAATATTTTGCAGCAATACCGAACAATTTGCAATAATTGTTTTGTTTTTCTTGCAATGTTGCCAGTTTACACTTTTTTGGCAATTAACGCGATTGTAAAGGCAGAACGTATGAAAATAGCAAACAGTGTTTACATTGAACGTTTTCTGGTCCGGAACATGATTGCTCCGTGGAATACTAAAAGAGGAACAAGAAGAGAAAATAAGCTAGTGTTTTCCTATTATTATTCTTATTTACACATTCAAACTTAAATAATTGAATAAAGTATCTAAACATATACATACATTCGACCATAAGAATAATGTAAAGCATTCTCTTTGGAAGACTTTCTGCAGTGAATTAATTGTAGTTGACTTGCCGTGATCTAGAAGAAGAAGAATTTCCAAGAGTTCAATAGTTCATAGTAAGCATTCCTGTTCATTTGTTCATTATTCATAAGTACGTAGCTATTTCGTTTAGATTTCGTTTTTGAAACGAAGTTTGATTAGAAGACGTTACACTTCTTCATTTTACAAATGCACAGTTCATAAGTGTAGTTGCAATGTGATTATAAAAACGGTCTCTTTAAATTCGGAAAATTTTGATTCTATCAATTACCATAGGATTCTCCCCTGAGCTCACGCCTAGTTTTAAAATTCCAAGCCCTTATTATACCCTTCAGCGAAGGATGAGGCGTATATTCAGATACCCCACAAAGTATATATATTCTTGATCAGCACCAAATTCTCACACGATTTGAGCACGTCCCTCTGTCCATCTGTCCGCCTGCGCAACTGTATGGGATTTGTGGTAAACATTACCGATTAGCTAAAATGAATATATCGCCTACAAATATTTCAGAGTTTTTATTTACTTTTATTAAAAATTATATGTATTTTGCTCATTTGCAGACTAGAGTGGATTGATTTTGGTCGTTCTCACACTCACACTGGTTGATTTTGCTCACTTTGAGAGATCTGTCGAATGATTTTTGCTCACTTTCAGATACCTTTGAGCTCAATTTTTATGCTACAGGTGGTTTTCATGGTAGAGGATTTGCATTTATTGAAAACAACTCCGCGATGAACATATGGTGAAAGAAAAATGAGACAATTTGAATTAATTAGAGAATACTAATAAGAAGAAGAATAATAACAGAAAAAAATTGAAAAATGTCCAAGTAAAATAAATAAATAAATTGATATTAAATTCATTGAAAACAAGCATGTATTTATATAACTCTTTTCCTCTTTTGCTGAACAAAGATGTGCAACTTTATAAAACAGGAATGAAGAAGAATGTTATTTTGATGCGAGGATACTAATGAGCTCGTATAGGATATAATTAAACGTAGTTAATTAATTTCTATCAACTGGTTCGTCATTGAGAGGGGCCGTTGTACTTATAATGTGTTTACAATGAAAAATCAAGTTAGCTTTTAAAAACAATGTTTTTCGTCAAATGAATGTCGAACAAGTTTTCTCTGTATTCATTTTTGTTTTTGCTTCAATAAAGACGCTAAATTTGAAACGTAGAAAAATTTTATTGAATTCTTCTTGCAGTGTTTGCTAGTGCGTGCAAAGAACATTTGAAGATGGTGAATTATTCTTCTTTCGAATTGGTTGAAGAAAATTTATTTTGACGTCCGTCATTCTTTGATGATTTCTTCTTTCGTCTTCTCTCCTACGTCTTTTGAGTCTTGTTAATTTAATTTCAATTATATTGATCAAAAGGGAGAAATGTTCAATTTTATGTCACAAGTCTCGATTACTCCACACTTAACTTTTCCGTCTTGGACGTAAATTTTTTTAACTTTTTCTCCTCCCAAATCTTCGCTTTCATGTTTCGCTGCATGTTTCCTTTACAGATCAGGCAAGAACTGTTGCGTTTTATTCTGCATGATAGCCAAATTGGAAAAAAATTCATGAGCATGAAAATAATAAACAGGGCGAAATGAGACAACAAACAAACCCTACATTCTTGTAATAATTTTGTAAAGAGGCAAATTAGTTTTCTCTTCTTTTGATTAGTTTAAAAATATGCTGCAGCCTTTGGCTAAAGTTTTTTTCTGCACAATTTTTTTTTATCCGTGTAATTCTTGTCCTATTTTATTTATTTTATCTTTGCCCAGTTTTTTCATCTAAATTTACTTGCACATTTTTTTTGTTTTGTTTAATAAATTGTTTCTTTCGCCAGTTTTTTTGATTTTATAAAATATCTACGCAAAATATATGTACATTAAACATAAAATCTATATCTTTAAAATTTGTTTTTTCTGACATTTACGGTTTAATCGTTCATCATCAACTCGTCATCTCTATAGTGTAGCAAATTAATTACGTCTTTTTTTGGGCGTGATTATTAATTTAAAAAACTGTGTAGGTTTTCTGTTTTCGACTTCCCTTGCATAGATCATATCCTTTACTTCTTTACATTTTTAGTATCGCTGTTTTTACTGTATAAACGCGCCTCACGCAATTTAGAATCTTGGCACAATCGCAGGTTCGTAAGCAAGGATCTGTAGATTATGTAATTTAGATGGGTTTTATAAAAAAATGTTTTAGAGAAATTTATAGTTACCGGGCACTACTACTGCGAAAACGCTTCGAAGGTAATTGCAATGTTAAAGATGTTGCTGTGGCAGCTTGTTTGTTGGAGGAAGATGAAAAAGAATTGTTTAATACAATGTATTATCAGCCCCTTAAAAGTAAGTTGGAAAAGTTTTGCTGAATAAGAAAATGTTTTTATACGGAATTATCCATAAAACAGCCGAACGAGAGGTATAATTACCCGATTGGGTGTTTGATTACTGGCATCCTTTGGAAAAAGCTCAGTATTCTGAATTTTTTGCTAAACGCGAAGATCGAAAAAACCAATTCGTAGCGTGGTGAGAAAAGCAATATGGCAAAGCAGATCCCAAGTATTTACATGACTAAACCCATGCTAGAGAACTGGGAAATAATTTATAGTAACAAGTAGTTGGGTTTTTTAAACAATCAGAAAGGCAACAAAGAAAATTTATAATTAAAAACAGTACACAATTTTTATATTATATATTTATTAAAATTCTATCGTAAGTATATTAAATACTTATTTATTCTTTGTGTTAAAAAACAGGAAATGCTTTAAAAAAATAACGTTACAAAAGAAGGAAAAAAACTAAACTTACGGTTTTCACGAAATTATATATAAAAAAGTCTTAACTCAAAATATTTCAATTTAAATTTGGTGATGTCTTATATGCTCTCTAATGAATTTTTTTTTAGTTAGCACTGATATTATTTTTATAGTTAAATGATAGTTTATGAAGGTATATATAGTTTTTGATGTTTAACTCTGCTCAATTTTGAAGTGTTTAAGACTGGCTAAGACTGTTTGAGGCTGTTTGTGAAGGTTTATATAGGTTTTGAGGTTTGACTATGCTCAGTTTTGAAATGTTTATGAGTGTGTATGAGTGTTTGTGACTGTTTATGGCTGTTTATGAAGGTTTATAACATTTCTGGCATAACGCCACATTTTGGTGTATGCTAACGGCATTTTGATTTTCGATTAATTTCTTTGCTAAGATACATTTTACTACACGCTCTCAGCCTGCGAGGTCTAAAAGGCTAAGGATCTCGCTAACAACATAATAGTTGTGGGTGCAAATCTCTCGCGCGGTAGAGTTTTCAATCAACTAATTTATTTTAACGTCAACCGAAGTCGACCG